ATTATTTATTTATTTATTTATTTATTTATTTGGCCTCCACTGGAAAGGGATAGGAGCCAAATATTCATACCCCCATCCAGGACCCTCCCTGGAGAGCCACGTCCTCACCCCAAGTGTCAGGATTTTATTTATTTATTTATTTATTTATTTATTTATTTATTTGGCCTCCACTGGAAAGGGATAGGAGCCAAAGCCACATCATCTCTCTGGTCCCATATACTAAGTCCCACTTCCTCAGGGCACTTCTGGGATTAGCTACAGGTTCAACTGGGGACTTTCTCCCTCAACATTCCATTCCAAAATCTATTGTATAACAGTGTTGACAAGGGTGCAGAGAAACTGGGACCCGTATAAACTGCTGGTGGGTATATAAAGTGGGCAGTTGTCATGGAAAATGGTTGGGTGGCCGAGACCGGTTTGGCTCAATGGATAGAGCATCGGCTTGGGGACTGAAGGGTCCCGGGTTTGATTTCAGTCAAGGGCATGTACCTTGGTTGCAGGCATATCCCCAGTAGGGGGTGTGCAAGAGGCAGCTGATCGATGATTCTCTCTCATCGATGTTTCTAACTCTCTATCTCTCTCCTTTCCTCTCTGTACAAAAATCAATAAAATATATATATTTTTAAAAATGGTTGGGTGGTTCCTCAAAGAGTGAAACAGAATTACCACATGACCCAACAATTCTGTCATAAATATCTAAGAGAACTGGAACCGGTGTTTATCGTGGAACTATTTACAATAGCCCAAAGGTGGCAACAACCCAAATGTCTATTGGTGGAGAATGGATGCACAAGATATGGTCCAGTAATATTGCTCGGCCATGAAAAAGAAAAAGGCGCTGGCATTCAATAGATGAACCTTGAACATATGATGCCCAGTGAGAGGAACCAGACACAAAAAGCCTCATACTGTGATTCCATTTGTGTGAAATGTCCAGAGCAGGCACACTCAGGGATAATGAATTAGTGGTTGCCAGGGGCTTGGGAATGATTGCTAAGGGAGATGAAATTGCTTTTGGGGTGCTGGAATGATCTGGAATTAGAAGTGATGGCTGCAAAATATTGTGAATATACTGGATGCCACTGAATTGTACACTTTAAAATGATTTTTAAAATGAACTTTGTGTTATGTGAATTTTACCCCAATTAAAAAAAAATGTGTTGTATAGAACTGGCTGGTGTTGCTACATGGTTAGAGCATTGGTCTGAGCACTGAAGGGGTCATGGGTTAGATTCCCAGTCTAGGGCACATATGTGAGTTGCAGGTTTGATTCTAGGTCCCAGTTGGGGTATGTGTGGGAGGCAACCAATCCATATGTCTGTCACATCAATGTTTCTCTCCCCCTCCCTTCGGCTCTCTCTAAAAATAAGCAATGGAAAAAATACCCATGAATGAGAATTAACAACAAAAAAAGTGTGTTGTATAGTCTCCTCTCCTGGGCTGCCTCTGTGAGGGCAGAGACTAAAGCCATTTGGTCACTGCTGTGTCCGTAGTGGCGAGCAGAGACAGAGGTGCAGTGGGTGTTCAAGAAGCATTTGTGGGCTAGACTGAATGAATGACATAGGCACCTGCTCTCCCTGAGAAAGAACACTTCATTTCCTCAAGTTCTGGATGGAGCACATGAAATCCTGGCCAGGGGAACTTCAGTCTTGCCTTCTGGATGATCTCCTCCTGCATCTCCAACTCTAAATCTGAATTTTCCTCTAACCCTGGAACTCCAGGCCCAGATGCACTTGGTCTTTATTGACACGAAAGAGCAAAGAAGGACTCAGTCCTTTAACAAGTAAAACTTTTATTAAATAAACTTTCAGTTTTTCCAGACCAAAGAGAGGTGTTTTGGACATAAAGATGATGCTTGTAGCTTCTCACCTGAAACACACCACAGTGACAAGGACCTCTCCAGCCACAAAATTCATCAACCCAGAGCTTCTTCTAAGTCCTTTTCTTGCCGTGTGTGTGTGTGTGTGTGTGTGTGTGTGTGTGTGTGTGTTTGTTTCCAAAAGTTGGTTTGCAAGTTGAAACTTCATGAAATTACTAGTAGCAGAAATAAAGTACATTGTACAAATCATGTAGATCTTCGATGTGGAGTATAAAAATGGTATTTACAGCCAGTAAACATGGATCAGGACACACACCACTGCACGCCAGGCCTGGCAGGAGCTTGGTGGGCACCAGAGACGCAGATGAGGCCCCCTCTTGGCCCCTGAGCACACGCTTGCACACGCAGACGCACGGGATACAGGCACACTAGAGAATGTCTTGGAACAATTATCAAACTCTGGAATATCGAAACGAGTTGGTCCGAAGATTTTTTTTTTTTCTTTTCCTTTTTTTTTTTTTTATGCTATGTGTTTTTTTTTTTTCTTTTCTGGGTTGGTCAACACATTTTGGTAGAAACAAAAGGGAATGCTGTGGGTTTTGTTTTGTTTTTTCCAAAAATTACTTTTCTTGAGCTTAATAAGTTCTCTGGTTCCTCGTTTGGCAATAGGCTCCACTGGACGACCAAACGAACTTGACTCTGTGCTTCAAGGTGGGTTTTCATGGTTTGGGTAGGTATGCAGAGGCACCCCACAGGATCTCCCTCCCAGCCCCAGCTAGGAAACAAAAATCCATTGCTTTGATTCCCCCCACCCCCATTTTCCTTCTCTTTTCTTCTTTGTACCTGCTCAGAAAGATCAACATTAAAAAAAAAAATTCTTTGAAGAGGTATCTTCGGCAAAGGGGTGCTTGGCCAGTGCAGGTTGGGCTTGTCCAACGAGCGTGGCAATCTTGGTTATGAGACCGTGAATTCCAGGCTGGTGATCCGAAGGCAGGGAGGGCTGGCTGCCTGCCCTTGGAGGGGCAGGAGGAGAGGGGCTCCCACTGACCCCATCTACCCCTGACCGAAAGCTAAGGGCTATTGGTCACATGAGTAAGGCTATGACTGGGGGGAAAGGGCTGGGGGAGGCCAGGGGCTCTCTTTTGTGCTGGGGAAGGCAGGGCCCTGGGACAAGGGAGGGGAGTTCGGGGTCCCGGAAGCTGCAGCTAGGACCAGGGACACTCAAGCCGGCTGAGCCCATAGGCCCGAGAGAATCGTTGGTGGCAGCGGCCAAAGTCCTGGAGGTATATCGGGTTGGCTGATGACTCCCAGTGCTTCTCTGGCACCCTGGTCTGACAAGACAGCCGGGAGGTGAGGAGACACGGGGCTGTCCGGCCAGCCTCAGCCCTTCGTATGTCCCTGCTGAGTGACCAGCCTAGGGCCACCTTCTCTTGGGTGGAAGGAAGTCAGAAAAGTTTGGTCCCATGATCTACACTCAAAAAATATATATACTGTCTATAGCTCTCTCTATATATATGCACATATATATATAGAAAAAGTGGTGATTTAGCTTGGGGAAGCCGCCAAGGTTACGGGGAGGGAGGAGCCAGGAAATCTCCCAGGAGGAAGCGGTGAACTCCTCAGCCCCTGCCCGCCCCGGCAGCGCTTCACATTTTGGGAAGAGGGCTAGGGGAGACAGGAGGAGAGGGAGGGCTGGTGTCCAAACTCGGTTGTAATTTACGGAATAGTCCTGGATCGGTTGGAAGCGGGGGAAACCCTCCTGGGGTGGAAGGCCCCTCACCTGGTGGAGAAGGGAGGGCGTTAGGGAGCTCTGAGCGGGCACAGAGGCAAAGGACCTCCCCTCCTATCCACCCCCTTGCCCTGGCCAGGCTGGGGTCTAGAACCCCAAGATTCCTAATCTTTTCAGAAAGAGTCCATTTTGGAGTTTGGAGGCTGACAAACCTGGCTTGGAGCAGAGTTAGGGTAACCAAGTGCGTGTCCTTACCTGGCAACTTGGGACAAGTATTCCTGCTCATTTGTGTCTCCTCTCCCCTGCTGCCTGCCACTGGAGCACCAGGAGGGCAGTACCCCGCCCCCCCCCCCACTCACCCCCAAGTTTCTGTTCATTCGGAGCTGTGTCCCCAAACACTGGAAAGAGTGCCTAGCACATAGTAGGTGCTCAGGAAAGATGTGCTAGCCCAGCATGTTAAAAGTGTGTGGATCGCCTGTGAGTTGGTTTCCAAACGTGGCAGGTTTCCAAATGTGAGCTCCAAGATGCAGGACTCTGACTGCACACCCCCAAGTTGCCACCATCCCCTAACTGTGCACCCACTTTGCGCCAGACCCCAGGCAAGGCTCTCTGATGACGACGGCAATGGTGATTAAAAAAGAGAAACAACAGGAATTACCAAGAACTTCACAGGTGGTGGGTCCTGGGCTCAACGGGGAAAACACTGCACCCCTGTGTGAGTTCTCCCTACTGCCTCCAGGGGAGATGGTTTATGAGCCCATTTCACAGATGAGGCTCATGGGAGCTTGAGGTCAGTAGTTAGTTTCCTCATTGATCTCTTAGGCTCACTATTCATTCCCCCAAAAAGGTGGTTAGTTGATAAAATTGCTTGCTCTGAAGTCAAATCAAAATACACTCTTGGGGATTTGTTTGTTTGGGGAGACATTTTTTCTGGCATTTGCCCCCCCCCCCCCCCCCGCGCAAAATCCCACCTTCCCATCAACCCACTGGGTGTGAACTATACCAAATAGAGGAGCTGAGAGAGGGGCCCAGCTGGGGGTCATAGGACAGGAGAGAAGCCCCTCCCACAACATTCCCCACCCCATTCCCAACCGGGCCCCCAGGCAAGTTTCTATTTATCCTTCAAAGCTTTCTCCCAAACCACCCTTGGTGAGCACTGGCTTCCCTCACTTCCCCAACCCAATCCTACTCTCCCACAAAAGGGATTGGGAGTATCTTCATCCAGCTCTGTCCCTAACAATTCAACCTGGGGCCCTGTAGCAACCTCACCCTCCTGGCCCCACTCACACCCCCAGGCAGGAGAGGGTTTGGAGAATGGGGGAGGTGGAGGCGCGGGTGTGTGTGTGTGTGTGTGTGTGTATGCAGAAAGCACGGGGCAGGGTTGGGGCGGGTGGGGCCGCCTGGCGGCTCACCTGGGCCAAGCCCACAGCCTCCGGGCGGCTGTGGGCGTGGTCAGTAGGGGTGTCCCGGATCTTTGGGCCGCTTCAGCTGCACTTTCAGCCTCTTCATGCCAATCTGAAAGCCATTCATGGCCTGGATGGCAGTCTGCGCGCTGGCCGGGTTGTCAAAGCTCACGAAGCCTGCAGAGACCGGGGTGGACCCGCGATGGTGGGCAACGTGGGCGTCTTCCACTCGGCTTCCCGGCTCGTGGGGTCCTAGGGGCGGGGTGTGCGCTCGCAGGGGCAGGCAGCCGGAGGAGGTACCTCGGCAGGGCTTGCCAGAGGACACACAGCATCCCTGGCCTGGTTCTGACACCCCTGGACTGCATGCCTCTGGGGATGGGCACTCACTCTGCACCTGGGGCTGCTCTGTGAGACTTCCTCTGTGGAGTTGGCGACAGGTGGATCTGCCTCTGGGGGTCCAGGTTCTCCCTCCCACCAGGATGCCTGCTCCTTCTGGACCCTGATGCTAGCTAGCCCTTTGCCTCCTCTGAGACCTCTAGTCACCGGGGATCTTGTCTGTCCTTATGACTTTGTGTGTGTGCTTCTTTGTCTCATCTCTTTCTCCATCTCTCCCGCCTGCTCTCTCTGTCTCTGTCAGTCTCTCTAACTCCTAGTTTCCCCCAAGACCATCAGAAACACTTACGCCGCCCCCTCCTTACACTGCCACCAGCCCAAACTCCATCTGCCAGCTCAAAGCTGCCTGGCCCTCCTCCTGCCCCTCACTTCCTGGTCATCACAGGGACCATGTGCAGAGGCCAGGGGCCCTCTAGGGCGAGGGAACCACACAAGCATTTGGAGGTGGGTCACCTGAGCTCTTGTGAAAGGCCAAGTGGGAGGTCAGGCAGAGAGATTGGGGGCTCAGGGTTGAAGGGTCTTGCTGAGGCCCATGGGGAGCCATGGGGAATTAGAGTTGAGGGATTAACATCATTGTTTTTATCTCCTCCAAGTCCCCTCATTATATAGATGAGAAAACTGAGGCTCAGAGAATGCATATGACCCCCTGATTGTTGCAAGTGACTGAGTGGGTTTTCCTCCTCCTCCTGAAATTTCCTCTTCCTTCTGGGCACAGGTTATAGAAAAGGGGGCTTGGGCACTAGTGGGAGTCCCTTACTTGCTGTGTGACTTCAAGTGTGTCACCATTTGATTCCTCTCTTTTCTCCCTCAGTAAATTGGGACAATTATTCCCTTTTATGGTTGGATATTGAATATATACAGAAGGCACTTAATAAATAGTCAAGAATTAGCGCTTCAAAGAGGACAGGGTGGGGTTACCAGTCCAGATTTTGTAGTCAAACAGACTAGTTCTAATCTAGATTCTGCCTCTTTGCCACTGTGTGACTTTAGACAAGTGTCAGTGCCTCTTTGAGCCCTAATTTCCTGTTTCTGGGGACAAAGAAGTCCTCCCTAAAGTTCAAGGCCCTTCATGATCTGTCCTTGTCTCCCACCTGCCCTTCCCTCCTCCCTCTCTCCCCATCATTCACTCTGTTCCATCCACACAGGCCTCCTCACTGTTCCTCCAGCCCCAGGGCCTTTGCACATGCGATTGCCTCTTCCTAGAACACTCTTCCTACAGATTTCCCCATGCTGGCTCATCGTCAGTCAGCTCTATTTTTCTTCATACTATTTATAATTCCCTGGCTTATGTCCTATGATTCCTTATTTCCATCTCCTCCCCCAAATCTGTACTTTCTAATTCAGTAGCCGCTGGCTCTTGTGGTTATTTTAACTTAAATTAAATACAATTAAACATTTAGTCCTTTAGTCGCACTGGGCACATTTCAAGTGCCTGGTAGCCACATGGGGCTGATGGCCCAGACAGACGGGATGTGGAACATTTCCATCATCAAAGGCAGTTCTGTTGGACAGTGCAGGAAGACCGTGAGCCTTCCTTCACTGCTATGTGCCCAGTGCCAAGCACAGAACCTGGCACACAGCAGGGACACAGTATATGTACTTGTTGAATGAATGAATGAATGAATGAATGAGTGAGTCTTAGAAAGAATGCATGGCAGGTGTCCTGCAAACAGTAGGTGCTTAATAAGTGTTCACTCTGATTATGAATGTGATTCTTTTTTTAAAATGTGATTCTTTTGGACCAGGCTTGTCTCAGGGATGACCAACCTCTCCCACCTCACCCCCTCCCATTCCAGGGCCAGGGACATGGGGCAGGCTGGCCAGCAGGAAGGGGCACCCCCCACACGTACTCACCAAAACATTTGCTCTGGTTGGTGGCCCGATCCATAAACACCTTGGAGGAGATGATATTGCCGAAGGGCAGGAACATCTGCGTCAGCTCCGTGTCTCCAAACTCCTGGGGGAGGTGGTAGATAAACAGGTTACAGCCTTCGGGACCTGCAGGTGGGGGAGAGAAAGACATAAAGCCCCCAAGGAGAGGAGGCGGAGCCCCCCCCGGGGGAGGGGCAAGTTTGGACCCACATCTGGGCACCTCCAGCTGTCAGGAGAGAGGTGCCCCATGATACGCAGAAAGAAGAAATGTGGAAATAGGGGGTAAGGAGGTAGGGCATCCTGATCCCTGCTCTATAATCCTACACCCAGATACTCCAAACCTCTGATAGTCCTCAAGCTCCAGATAATTTACAAAATTCAGATGATTCTCAGCCCTCTGCCCAAACCAAGATAAATAACAGAAACTCTAAAATCCAGGAAAATCCCTAAACCTCAAACTCCAGATTATCTACAAAAGTCAGGTTAACTAAGTGTAGATAAAAAGAAACTATAATCTATATTTTTAATTATTCTGTAAATCTAAAACTGGTTCTGAAATCAAATGGTGGGTTTTTTTTTGTGTGTGTGTGTGTTTTTTTTAAGTGTGATGATTGCCCTGGCCAGTGTGGCTCAGTTGGTTGGAACGTCATGACGTGCACTGGAAGGTCTTCAGTTCAATTCCTGGTCAGGGCCCCTGGCTGGGGCGTGTACAGGAGGCAACTGATTGATGTATCTCTCACATCCTTTTCTCTCTCTCTCTCTCTCTCTCTCTCTCTCTCTCTCTCTCTCTCTCTCTCTCTCTCTCTCCCTTTTTCCCTCCCTCCCTCCCTCCCCTCTAAAATCAATTTTAAAAATAGCAATAGCCCAGCTGGTTTAGCTCAGTGCATAGAATGAAGGGTCCTGGGTTTGGTTCTGGTCAGGGGCATGTACCTTGGTTGCAGGCTCAATCCTGGTCCCAGTCAGGCTGCATGCAGAGGCAGCTACTGGATGTGTCTCCCTTACATTGATGTTTCTCTCTCTCTGTCTCTCCTCCTCCCTTCTACTCTGTCTAAAAATCAAAGGAAAAAATATCCTCCAGTGAGGATTAACAAAAGAAAGGCAATAAGAGTCGGATGATCACAGAATAAAACAAGACAAGTAGTCTCTGATCCCCACACCCAAATATCCAGATATATTTTCCAAAAGCCTTTGATAATTCTCCTAACTTCGAATAATTTTCAAAACTCAGATGATGCAAAAATAAAATCAAGTAAACTAAAAAGAGAACTCTCCAGTCCTGAATCCTAGATATACTGAAACCACAAATTATATATTTTTATTGATTTTAGAGAGAAGGGAGAGGGAGAGAAAGATTGAAACATCAATAATGAGAGAGAATTATTGATCAGCTGCCTCCTTCATGCCCCACGCTGGGGATTGAGCCTACAATCCAGGCATATGCCTGACAGAGAATCTAACCTCAACCTTCTGGTTCATAGGCTGGTGCTCGATCACTGACTCACACTGGCTGGGCTCCCACAAATAATTTTAAAATGGTAGACTATACCAACCAGAAACATTTTAATTAATTAATTAATTTATGTTCATCTTTGCCTAAGGATTTTTCCATTGATTTTTAGAGAGAGTAGAAGATAGGAAAGGGGGGGGGGAGAGAGAGAGAGAGAGAGAGAGAGAGAGAGAGAGAGAGAGAGAGAGAGAGAGAGAAACATTGATGTGAGAGACACATCGACTGGTTGCCTCCCCCACAAGGCCAGACCAGGGCCTGGGATTGACTTGCAATCTAGGTATGTTCCCTTGATCGGGAATCAAACCAGAGATTCTTTGATGCGTGGGCGGACACTACCACTGAGCCACACTGGCCAGAGCAGAAATATTTTTTAAAACATGGCTAATCCTCAAAAATCATTCCTTCCCCATAAAATCCTCAGTACATGGTTTATATACAAACTATAAATAATACCATTTAAAAACTTGGTTAACTTGGAGTGATGAACACACAATACAATATACAGATGATATTTCATAGAATTGTTCACCTGAAACCTATGTAATTTTTTTTTAAAATATATTTTATTGATTTTATACAGAGAGGAAGGGAGAGAGATAGAGAGTTAGAAACATCGATGAGAGAGAGTCATCGATCAGCTGCCTCTTGCACACCCCCTACTGGGGATATGCCCGCAACCAAGGTACATGCCCTTGACCGGAATCGAACCCGGGACCCTTCAGTCTCAAGCCGACGCTCCATCCATTGAGCCAAACCGGTCCCGGCTGAAACCTATGTAATTTTATTAACCAATGTCACCCCAATAAATTCAATAAAAAAGAAAATAAACAAAAATCTGATTATCTGAAGCCAAACCTGCTCCCATGCTCCTAAAACAAAGATAGTGATCCAACTACCAAGAATTGCTCTTACCCTCGCAATGAAGATTCCCCACCCCAGGAAATACAAAAATCCAAGACCACACAATCTCATCCACCCCTTACCTTTCTGATTAGGACCACGGTTTTGCTACAATGCTTGCTTTTATTTATTTATTGTTTGCATTTTTAATTTATAACAATTATCTAAATCTTTATTGTTCAAAGATATAGGTCCCCTTTGGTCCCCCACCAATCCCCCACCCCCTCCAGCCCTCACCCATCCCCCACCTAGGCCCTCAACCACCCCATTGCCTGCATCCATGGGTTATGCATATATGCAAACAAAGCCTTTGGTTGTATAAAATGCAAGTGTGTTCTGATGTGACTGATACGTTCCGGAACAATTTTGAGCCTAACACAAATCCTGTGTTTGCTTAGGGGCTCTCTGGTCTCCAGGAAACACGAGGTGAATGCAGAAACCTGGGCCCGGGTGAACCAAGCCTCATGAGAAAACAAAATTCGAGCTCTAACACCGACCAACGTCCTCAGCTCCCCAAGTGTGTTAGGAGCCATACCTGTCCCCATCTGAGGCTCTGCCTGTCTCATTCCAGACAACCCCGTTTCCCCTCGTTCCCTGGCCTCACAGGAGCAGCCCTTCCCATGCCGCGGCCACGCGCACATGCCGGCTCTTCCCCAAGATAAAGTGCCACCCCCAGTTGTTGTAGCATCACGTATTTCTCGGCCATCTAACACTGATAAAACGGTTTTGTTAGGGTCCTATCTTTTTTTTATTGACAGGTCTGCGGACCAGGCTCCGAGCTCCCCTTGCCATGAGGAGGGACCTGGGCTTTTCCCAGCCTCCGCGGCCCCCACCAGCGCGATCCGGATTAAATCTGAGGGTCTCCCCGGGGATGAGCGGGCACTGCCCACTTGCACCTCTTGGCACCAATAGCCGCCTGTGTCAGAGATGAGGAAACAGGGTGGTGCGGTGCCTTCCTTTAGTCACAAGCCAGACCTGGGCGGCTCTGAATGCCAGGTGTCCGACTCCAGAGTCTAACTCGGGCATCCCTCGGCCTTCCCGGGGAGGCTCCAGGTTAGCCGATGCCGCACCCCTCTTCCCGCCCTCAGAATGGGCTCACTCCCGGAAAGTTCAGAGAATCGTTCAGGGTTGGAGCGGCAACTCTCTGCCTACGGGGTCGAGCTGGCATGGTTCGGAGAGGGGATTCAGTGGTCCCCCCCGCCCCCCACCACCACCGGGATGGCACAGGACTTGAACCCAGGCCTCTCCGTCCCCGGGCGGAGTTCTAGGCCGCCCGGTTCCCAGAGGCCTGGCCAGGGGCGGGGCCTGCTGCTGACGGGGGCGGTCAGGGGGCGGGGCTGGCGCCCGCAGGAGGTCGCGGCCCCCTCACCTTCTCGCTGCTGCTGCTGCTGCAGGAGCGGCGGCGGCTGCGGGATGCTGTGCGCGATGGGCGCGATGGCCGCGGCGGGGTACATGGCTGTGGAGACCCGGAGCGGAAGCCGCGTGAGGCCGGCGGGCGCGCGGCGCGAGCGGGCGCGGCTAGTCTAGGGGCGGGGCCTGGTCTGAGGGCGGGGCCAACGGTGGGTCTTGGGGCGGAGGAGGGGCGGGGCCACAACGAAGAGCTGGCCTACGGGTGAGGCCCAGGCAACGGAGCGGCCCGGACTTGAGAGGCGGGGACACGGGTTAGGGGCGGGGCCAAGGCCGACCTTAGGTAGGACCTGAGGGGCGGGACCAGCAGGGCAAAGAGCTGGGATTGGGCCACGGCTAGAAGTAGGAAGAAAGGTTAGAGAATGAAAGGCGAATGGCCGAGCTCCGAGGGCGGGGCTTCTATGGGGCGGGGCTTCTTGCGGGGCAGGCCGACGTGCCTCCCTACCTGTGTACTGCTGGACTCCCGAGAAGGCAGGATGGAGGGTCTCAGCCATGGTCGGACTCTGAGCTGCGGGCAGACGGAGGGGTTGAGTGGGGTGGGAGCAACATAAGACTTCTAGTCACCCCCCCCCCCAATTCTTAAGAGCGGAAAAGAGAGCCACAGACATCCGCCCCAGCTTTACCTCTGCGTAAACAGTGTACAGGTATGCTTCCCATTTCACAGGTGGAGAAACTGAGGCTCAGAGAGGAAAAGTAACTGGCACAGGGCCACTTAGATAGGAAATGGCAGAAGCCGAACTCGAATCCAGGTTTCTGGGACTCCAGAAAGGTTGACACCTCCCTCCCCTTTCCTCTCCCCCCCCCCCCACCCCCCATCTTGGCCTTCTCACTCCTTCCTTTCATTCTCTATATTCTCCGGGACTCTGCTCCAGACCACCACTCATCCCCATCACTTCCTCTCTGGCTCCCTACACCTCATTCATCAGTCACCCCATGGACTTTTGTGTAGCTATAACCTTCCAACTGGCCTAGTGGAGAAGTTAGGTGAGAGTTTGTCCAGGCCACCAGAGCTGGTGAATCAAGAAAATTCAGCCAAATGATTCCCTTTGAATGGAGAGATGTTGCTAGAGGATGGAATAGTGTGTGTCTGTGTGTGTATGTGTGTGTGTGTGACTTACAGGGGTGGCATAAATGAATTACTTTGTAAAGCTGGAACAGTTCTGTATCTTGATTATGGTGGTGGTTACATGAATCTATACCTGTGATAAAATCTATACCTACACACACATACCCGTGCATGTAAAAAGCAGTGCAATCTGAATAAGCTTTCCTATTCCAGTTGAGTTCATTGTACACACCAATGTCAGTTTCTTGGTTTTGACAATGCTCCTGTGATTATCTATGATGTTAGCATTGGAGGAAGCTGGGTGAGGGGTACACAGGACATCTTTGTATTATTTTGGTAACAGCCTGTTAGCCTCAATCATTTCAAAATAAAAATAAATCCTCTTTAATGGTGTAAACACAGATGTTTGCCTTGAAATCACGGTATAGTGGGGAGCCCAGCTCACATCAGTGCATGGTCATATTGAGTGAATGAATGAGTGAACGAATGAATGAATCCTGGTACTAATATCTTCCCAAATAGTAACAGTTAATAATTAAGATCGATGGTGCCATTCTTAGTACTAGGTGATGGGTTAATCGTTTTTCATTCTGATCTCATTGTCAATGCAACCTCATGAGGTGACTGATGTTAATCCACCCATTTCACAGATGAGCAAACTGAAGCTCACAGACTTACAGGAATCACCCAAGGGCCACCAAACCTGGACATGAACCCAGAAATGTCTGGGTGCAAATTTCCTATGTTTAACCTTTTTCTCTGCGCCCCCAGCACATATCTGCTCGGCTGAGACTCCCATTGTTCTGTCCCTCTGCTCCTTGGAGCATCAAGACACAGGAAATTATGCTTGTCCTAGAGACACCTTCCTGCCCCCTCATGTTCTCGTAGGCCCTGGGGAACCACCCAAGTTACCTGGGTAGGGCATGAGGCCATTGGCATATACAGTCTCTAGGGCAGGGTGCCCGCCAGGGAAGGGCACGACACCTGCAAAGCTGTTGGTGATGGGAGCCATGAGGCCGGGCACGGCGGCAGTGCTGAGCAGTGGGGGCGAGTGCAGCCCTGCAGAGAGAAAAACATCGTGAGGAGCCTGGGCCTGGGTCTGGCCCTGCCCACCCGTCCTAGGGCCTCTGGCGGACTCTCACCAGAGGCAGGGGCGATGGGTGTGGCAGGCAGCCCATTAAGGCTGACGGCGCCGATCTGCTGGATGTGGCAGGGTGAGAAGGCCACGCCAGGGCTCAGGTAGCTGCCTGAGGTGGACAGGACCGTGGTCTGCTGCTGCATGAGCTGGAGGTGGAGAGGGGTCAAGATGCACAGTCAGGGTGGCACTGCCCTGAGGTCATCGGTCCCAGGGAGTAACTAGAGGGGTCAGGCTGGATATCTTGGCTGAGGCCAGGGTCAGGGATCAATCAGGATTTGGGACTCAGCCTTGGTCTAGGATCAGGGCTCAGCCTAGTTCCGGGTTCATGGGAATCATGGCTAACCGAGGGATCTGGGTTCAGTAAAGAATTTGGTTTTGATCAGGGATCAGGGATCAGCCAACACTTAACTCAGTCAGGCTTGGGACTTAAGAGGTTCAGTCTGGGTTTGGTCTCAGTTCAGGGTTGAAGCTTGACCGGAATTATTTGGGGGCTGAGCATGGGGTCATGTCAGTCCAAGTAGAGGTTCACCTTGGGCTCAGGGCTCAGTTTATGGCTGGGGGCTCAGCTAGGTGTGGGGCTTGGGACTCAGTCTGGATATGTGGGCTCAGTCATGGCCAGATTAGGACCCTGAGCCAGAGAGACTGGGCAAGAGACAGAAAGATGGGCAGAGAGCCTGGCCGGTGTGGCTCAGTGGTTGAGCATTGACTTATGAATCAGGAGGTTGCAGGCTCGATCCCGCAGGAGGCAGCCAATGAATGATTCTCATCCCTGATGTTTCTATCTCTTTCTTCCTCTCCCTTTCTCTCTGAAATCAATAAAAAAATATATTTAAAATTAAAAATAAATAAAACAAAGATGGGCAGAGAGGCTAAACCCCTCCACAGAGACTTAGATGGAGAGAGAGAGAGAGAGAGAGAGAGAGAGAGAGAGAGAGAGAAGAGAGAGAGACAGACACTGAGCTGGATCCTCAGAGAGTTCTTGGAAGTTCCCCTGGAGACAAAAGCATGTTTTCCGGGGTCACTCACGGCCTGCGCATAGGCACTGTAAGGGCTGAAGGGCAGGGTGAGGGATGGTGTCAGGATGCCCAGCTGGCCCACCATCTGCTGCATGCGCCGCAGTGTTCGCTCCTTGTCTGTGTCGGCAAACTTGACTACCAGGCTGGAGGAGGCACCCTGCAGGAGCAGCCACAGCAGGAAGGAAAAGAAAGGAGGGAGGTAACCAGGAATCTGGGGTCCCCAGAACCACACCAGCCCTGGTGAGGGCTATAGATAGCAACAGCTGTTGGCCCTGTCCATGAGCCCCTGCTGCAGACTTTGGGCAGCACAGTGAAGGTCAGAGTCCTGGGTCTTGCACTTGACGATGCAATCACCTCTGCACACAGGTGGGGCATTTGGGTCCAGGGGGCTGTGTCTGGGGTACAGCGGAGGACCCTGACTCTCAGGCACACTCCCCAAAACAGGAGGATCCCTGGCCAATATGACTTAGTTGGTTGGATGTTGTCCCATGTACCAAAAGGTTTCTGGTTTGATTCCTGTTGGGGCACATGCATGAGTTACAGGCTCTCCTGGTGTGCAGGAGACAGCCAGTCAGTGTTTCTCTCTCTCTCTAAAAATCAACAAAAAATCTTACACACACACACACACACACACACACACACACACACAGAAGGAGAATCCACCTGCTGGAGAGGAACATGGCGGCCTGGGTGGAGGACCCTATAATTGTCACCGGACACCAGAGAGGAATGGGGCACAGATGGATAACTGCAAATGGCACCTTGCACCTGAGAACAGGTTAGACACTAACATACAGTGAAGATGGTTCCCAGAGCCTCCTTCCTGGGGATCAGGGCCACCCAAGTGCCTGGGTGGTCCTTCCCAGCCTCACACCACTGCTGACCCACAAATTCCTGGCTCCAGTCTTGCCTCTGCCCACCCCTGCTCTGGCCCCAAAGAGACATTTCCATCTAAACCTGACCCCTTCCCTTCCCTGTCGAACCCTCTGTGGCTCGCATGACCATAGGAGGAATCTGGGTGCCTCAGTCTTGAACTGCAGGCTCCTCTAGCCCATCCTCCCCAGTTCCTCTGGGGGCCCCCATTCCAATCCTTCCTTTGGTTTTGTCACTTCCCCACACCCTCATGTCCCCCTGCTGGCCTCCGCAAATCCCATCCACCCTCAGATCTCACCCATCCTGTATCCTCACACACAAATACACATATTCTCACACACACTCACTCACCGTGTATGCTCACAGTCATGCATAGCATCCACATATACATGCTCACCATGCATACTCACACACACTTGCCCAATGCGTTCAAATACACATGCACAAAATCACACATGTACACACATAAGTATATACAGTCACTATGCACACATAATCATATGCCCTCACCCACACATACACACATGTACTCATCGACACACATAGCCCTCACACACACTCCTGCAGAGGCACATGCATGCACTTGTTCCCCCCACATCACCTGGGCATACTCATGCACTCAACATGATTACACACATGTACTCACACAGACATGCATGCACTCTCACATGCTCTCTTAGACACACACACACATGCAGCCACACGCTGACAGTACATTCTTTCACACACATACATTCACACATAGGTACAATCACTCAGACACATACACCCACTCACACCATCATCAGGACTGCCCCCTTTTCCAACTATGCCCACTAGGAAGAAGAACCAAGGATTACCAGGTGGCTGGGATAGGAGGAACAGGGCCGCCTTACCCCTTTCCCGTGCCCACCCCCATAGCTGAGGGTAGCTCCTACTCACCGGCATGGTCTGGCTGCCATGCAGGGCGTGGATTGCCGCCTGAGCCTCCGTGTGGGAGGAGAACTTCACGAAGGCACAGCCTGCTCCAAGAGAACAGGGAAGAGGCAATGAGGCATTTCAGGGTAGACAGGCCCACCGGAGCGGGGGCTGGGGGCCCCGGATGGCCAGAAAGTCAGACATCTGGACACAGAGCCAGCCAGCCATTTGCCCGGGCAGAGAGCTAGACAATGAAGGATGAGACAGTAAGAGAAGCACACGGCCAGCATGGAGTTAGACAGTCAGCCAATCAGCCATCCATTTAGTCAGAAAGCCAGCCAGTCAGATAGCTGTTTGTCAAACCCACAATCAAGCGATGGGGACAGGCTTAGAGAACACCCGCCAACAGCCACCAACACGAGGAGATCCAGAGTTGTAATCAGATGTGCAGAATTAAAGTGACAAACCATGAGGCGCAGAGGCAGAGAGATATGGTTCTGTGCACATCCAGGCAGAGATGCACTCAGATCCAGATGGATAGAAAGATGCGTGTGACCAGAGTTGGAGAAATGGGGATAAATCACCATACAAAGGCAGACCCAGCCGATCAATCACATGAGCAGAATCAGGAGGACAGATAGCCAGACACACGAAGACCCACACAGAAGTGGTCGTTTGGATACCCAGCAGGAAGAGTCAGAGACAGGGATGCAGGAGGAGTGATACTCAACCCTAGTCACATAGAGTCACATGGGCAGACAAGAAAACATGTCTGTGGAGGTCATTAAACAATCATCCCTAGAAGGCACAGCCATATAGGAACGGTGGAGTACCTACACAGAACACGGGCACATCCAGCTGGAGACAGTCCCATGGACAGAGTCGGGTGGAGACAGGCACCCCCAGCCTGGCAGGGGCAGCCAGTAGGACCAGGCTCCACCCACCACCCAAGCCGCTGGCCCCGCCCACCCTCCGCGCCACCCACCAGTGCGGCTTCGCGCGGGCCCCGCCCCGGGATCCAACCCCGCCCGCCCCGGGCGCCGCCCTGCCCCCCTGTATCCCCCAGAGGCCGCCCCAACGCGGGCCTGTCACCTTTGCTGCTGCCATCAGGCCCCCGGAGCACCGTGCACTCGTCTATGACCCCGAAGGGCTGGAACAGCCGCAGCACGTCCTCCTCCGATTGCTGCTTGTTCAGCATCCCCACAAACAGCTTCCGGTCCCCTGTGGGCGGAGACACCACCTCAGACAAGTCCTGGCTGCAAAGCCTCCCTCCGGGAATGTCTCCCCTGGGCCCAGTTCTGCGCGCGCGCGCGAAGGAGGTAACGGCCAGGCGCTGGCTGCCCTGAGTCTCTCCCACGTTCCTGCACGATCCCTTCTTCATGCCTTTGCTCACGCAGTGCTCTCCCCCTCTCCCTTCTCCCCCCTCCCCCGTCTGGAATGTCCTTCCTCCAATCCTTGGGGGCCTCTGCACCACTGCTCCCACCTCCCAGTACAGAGGGTCTCCCCTCCTGTGGTCTCAGAGAGCCCACACATAGTACCAGGGTTAGGAACTACCTTGCCTGGCCTAGGCCCCTGTCGGTCTAACCGCCATCTAGATTCTACAGGGAGGGTGAGCGCTGATGGCCTCTGCGTCCTCCCTGTGCCCAGCAGAGCCCCCTGCCCAACCTTGCCAGGGCTCGTGAGGGACTAGGCAATCAATGGCTGTTGAATGAGTGAGGTGTGTGTGAGCATAGGACCAGCCTGCAGCCCCCAACAGGTGGAGCTGGAGTGGGTGCCTGGCTGGGACCTGCCCAAGGCTAAGGTCAGGGCCCAGTGGGGGCCACCCTCTCCTGTGTGAGGCACAGAGCCCTGCCCTGGCGTAGTTGTGCTGCTCCCCTGTCATCAGCAACAGCGGCGGCTTCCTCTCCCCTAGACAGTAAGATGGGTTACTATGGAGACCAGTTTTCTGGCAGCTGCCACTCATGGGGAGAAACACAGAAGCAGGGAGATTGGCGAGTCAGGAAGAGAAAGACATGAGAGTGAAACAGAGATAAGCAAAGAGAGGCACAGAGAGCAGCAGAGAGAGAACCAGAGACAGGAGAGAAAAAGATAAGGAGAGAGACAGAGATACGGTGGGAGAGGGAGCAAGGGAGAGGAGAGAGACGGAGATACGCGAACCCTGCTCTCCAGTCCCGACCCACACCGCGGCCAGGCTGGAGAGTCTGAAAACAGGCTCCAGCCCATTCTGGCTTCACCAGGCTCTTACACATCTCACGCTCCAGGGGTCCTAACAGCCCTGTCCCACATCAGAGTTGTAATCAGATGTCCCACCCTGTCTCCGTCATCCCCTGGCTGGCTGTTCTCCCTCAGCCCCCAACTCACCTGAGATGGGGAGGAGGGACAAAAACCTCCAAGAAAGTTTGAATCCCACTGGGGACATCCAGCGCCCCCCTCCATGGGCACTCCTCTGCCACACAGTCCAGCCCCTGCCGACACCAGGCCCCAACTTGCGCGCCCACAGGCCCGCCTGTTACAGTCAAGCACACACACTTGAACATACATGCCCATGCATAGGCTGGGTGCACGGTGTTGCATGCACCCCCACTATGCTAGCCTCGGAGACACACATGCATATGTACACATACTTGCACCTGTCTGCATACAGGTGTGCCCAAGTATGCATACTTATATACACAGACATACCCACTTGTCCAGACATGCAAACGTTCACATACACACACAACCCCAAAATCAATCCACAGCCCTTCAGGGTCCCCATCCCCTCTGCGTCTGAAGATGCCCATTACTGATCTCTGAGAGGAATCAGTACTTCAAGCTCCAGGGGAAAGTAGCTGCCCCTGGCCCGTGGCCCTGTGGTCGGGGAGAGGGCACAGAGGCCCTGCTTCCTGTCTCCATCCCATTAGTGTGTGAGCAGGCAGGCGACTGCTGCGGCCTTTTGTGCAGGGACCTTCCCTTCCTCCCCCATCCCTCCCCAACCCCCCGCTGGAGGTCACGGAGAGATGACAACTACCTCCACGACTTTCGCTGTCCGCAGGCTTCACCTGGATTGGCCGCGCCATCTGTGGGAAAAGGGGGTGGGGAGAGGTCAAGGTCAGCAGCTGGAGCAGCGTGGGTAGAAACTTTGTCTGAGTTCTGCCAGGCAACCCTGCCTACCTCCCCAGCCTCAGCATCCCACCAACCACCCGGAAGCAACGAACACTCCACTCAAACCAAGTAATACATGGTCCCACCCACAGGACTTCGCTCACGCTGTCCGGAAAACTCTTGCTTAGCCCTTAAAACCCAGTGACAATATCCCTTCCGCCAGGAAACCTCCTTGCCTCCCCAAGGGCCATGAACTGTTGACAAAGATATCCCAACTCCGCTAGTTCCCGTGTGTGATGTGACTTTGTGGTTCCTCTCATCGAGAACTGGAATCTGTTTTCCTTTTGCATCTGCAGTTGGCCATGTGACTTGTTCTGACCAGTAGAATGAGGTGGAACTGAGGTTGTGGGAGTTCCAACCTTGGCCTCATGAGACCCTGCAGCTTCCTCCACACTTGAGACGCTGAGATTACCAAGTCACTCCAGGTTATGATGGGGCAACTATGGGAGGATGGCAGCCGACACCCACAGAGAGGCCCCACTGACACACAGCACCTAGGAATGAGGCTGTCCTGACCCAGCTTGGCCCAGTCAGGACCCAGCTGATTGCAGCTGCATGAAGGACCCCAGGAGAGACCAGCAGAAGAACTAACTCCCCAGCTGACAGGTTGAGATTACTAACCCACAGAATCACGAACAAATAAAATGACTGGGGTGGGCCCTACCTCATTTGGCTCAGTGGATAGAGCATCGGCCTGTAGACTGAAGGGTCCCAGGTTCGATTCTGTCAGGGGCACATGCCTGGTTTGTGGACTCTATCCCCAGTATGGAGTGTGCTGGAGGCAGCCGACTGATGGTTCTATCTCATCATTGATGTTTCTATCTCTCCCTCTCCCTCCCTCTCTGAAATCAATAAAAATACATTTTAAAAAAATGATTGGGATGGTTTGTTACTCAGAAGTAGCTGACCGATATACTTTTAGTCAGCTCCCCAAGCCTTAGTGGGAGCCCTGTCACACCTGAATGGACCAGCGTGGATTCATTGTTCTGGACTCTTCTAACCCCTGCCCCGGCCCTGAAAATGATGTTCATTAGAAGAAATCCAGCCCCTAGTTCCCACCCCCACACTTAACCAGGCATGAGTAGGAGGTAAGCTAATGTGAATATTTGACAACAGACTTGAGGGATGGAGGATGGGGTGGCATTTACTTCTCTGCCAATCCTAGGACAGAATTTTCCTCCCAACCTCGTATCTCTGGTGAACTTCTACTCATTCTTCAAATCCCAACTCAAAAGCTCCCAAGTGGGGCAACCCTTCCCCTCCCTGGGTTCCCTCCTCTGCCTCAGGGCAGCACATATCTAGTGTTGCTCTTCCTCCTCCAGACTGGGGACACAGGGAGATTCAGGGGAGCCCACTGAACTGAGCTGACCAGGAGAAAGGGGTCAACGCCCACCAGCACAGAAAGACACCTGGTCCCTCCCCAGCAGGAGTGGGGGCAGTGAGTGCTGGTCCCCGGTCAGCCACCTCGGAGTAGATCCCCACCCACCCAGAGAAGGTGCTGGATAAATATCATGTTCTAATCACGGTGCAGCTGCCCAGCAGGTTCAAGAGAGAGACACGGTTTACACCCTGTTTTACAGATGTCAAAATCAAGGCTCAGAAAAGTCATTTGCTATACCCACCAAGGTCATGGAAGATGAGTTGAAGCACCAGGAGTCCTAGGAGTCGGATTTAGAGATCTTCTCACCCACTGCCACGAGTAGAGACCTACTCTTTAAACCCCCATGTCTTCTTCCCTCTGAGCTCCTTCCCCTTCTCTCAAGACCCTGTCCCAGCGCTGAACCCCCTCCCTCACTGATCACCCCTTTCCCTGAGTCCCTCCCCTTGGCCATTCCCCTCCCCCTCTAGCTTACCTCCCCTTTCTGAGTCCTTTCCTTCTCTCTGCTCCCCCCCTTATCGGAGCCCCTCCCACTTCAGATACCTCCCCTTTCTCTGAAAGTGTGTCGCAGGCACATATGGGCCTGGCTGCCTCAATTTGAACTCAGCCTTGGAGCTCCATATCCAGAGAGGCCTCAGCCTCCCCAATCCAGTGTCCCCAGTTCTGCTGCCCGATCAATCTGCCACCCAGCCACACCCTCAGAGAAAGGGGGAACATTTCTCCCTTCCCTTACCACACACACACACACACACACACACACACACACACACACACACACACTGAGCCTTCTCCACCTGGGTACCACACCCAGCTAGCTGGAGGCAGGAGGGGAGATGATTTCAACCAGATGGGACCAGATTCTGGGCTGGGGGCAGACTGAGGTGGTGAAAAGAAATGGGGAGAAGGGGGCACCTGAGCATCAGCCTCCTGCTCCCCACCCCTCCTACCTCACCTCCACTGGCCCTCACCTCTTCCCCCCTCCCAGCACCTTGGGCAGATGAGGATGGGGTTGCCAAGGCAACAGTGATTCACCACATGGAAGCTGGCAATTGTTGTTACCATGGAAACTGCCTCTTAGGGGCGAGCCTAGCTCCTGCCTTGCACAAAAGAGATATTTAAATATAATCTTCTAGAGATGGATGAGCCAAGAGAAGGAATAAGGGAGGGGGCCACGAGGAGGGAACCTGCCCCCAACACAGCACCCTCACCCCTCACCCCATTCTCATGGCCTGGGTACCTGCTCATCAACTGCGCCTTCAGCTGTGGCTGCAGATCGTTCACCTCCTGCTGGAAGGCTCCTTCCCCCACTGGGGTCAGCTTGGCAGCAAGAGGAGGTCCTGGTCTGCTCCCAGAAGCCAGGTGGGCAGCCCCCTCCTCTCCAGTCCCCTACTCCAAAGCCGAGGCGTGAAGGCCCAGCTACCCACACCCCACAGCCCCGTGCCCCGCCTCACCCACCGGCCTAGAGGCTCACACCAAGCTGGCTGGCATCCATGTGCTGTGGCTCGCACTGCCGGCCCTGGACACACAGGGGCGCATACGCAGCAAGAAAGCTGAGGCCCGGCGCCTCACTCCCTGAGCCCCACTCCCAGGCAATCAGCCACCCACTGGCCAGGCCCTGCCCACCCACTGGAACCCTGAGAAGGTGTGCCAGGGGGAGCCAGGTCTCCCCATACCCCCACCTCTCCAGTCACCCCGGCCCACCCCTTTTGTTTCTGCCCACCTCCTTCCGGCTTCCTCTTTCCATCTGCCCCACCACAGTCTGTGCTGAGTGCCCTCTCTCCCTCCTCCACCTCTGGCCCCCAGTGTTGAATCTCTTCCCTCCCTGCCCTCTCTCTTCCTCTTTTCATTTATTCAACAAGGTTCCCGTGTCTGGTGGAGGGGAAGACAGAGGCAGAGACTCTCTCATGGGGTCCTAGGGTCAGGGTGGGGGCAGAGGGCAGAATCAAGGGCTGGAGAGCCTAGAGCCATGGTTGCAAACTGTGGCTCTTTGGTCCCTTGGCTCTTCCACAAAATACCACGGCCTGGGCAAGTCTATTTTGAAGAAGTGGTGTTAGAAGAAGTTTAAGTTTAAAACATTCGGCTCTCAAAAGAAATTTCAATTGTTGTCCTGTTGATATTTGGCTCTGTTGACTAATGAGTTTGCTGACCACTGGCCTAGAGCAAAGAATGGTGAAGAACTACAGACTGCGCTGGGGCTGCACTGGAGATGGAAAATCTGTGGTGGGTGTTGCAGTGAATAGGAGCCTGAAGGAGAGACTTTCTCATGTTGGAGCAATAGGTATACCCACTGCCTCCTTCATCTCCAACCACTTTGTGAGATGGAAACATCCCCCATTTAATGGATGGGAAGAGCAGAAAGAGAAAGAAGGTCAGAACCAGAGGCTCAATCTCCTGCGGATTTCCTCAGGCTCCTCTGGGGACCCAGCCACGCTCCTGTGGGCTGGGGCTCTGGGCGTGTCTGTTTTGGGGTGGGCACACGTGAAGTGCCTGGGGTCCAGTCCTTCCTCTGCCCCCAGCTTTGGCTGAGTGACCTCAACCAGACCACACACCATTGGGAAAACAGAACCCCTTACAGGGAGGAAACTGCAGCCCCTGGGGGAAGGCCTGCAGGAGAAGTCTCCAGCGGTCAGGCGGGACTCCGAAGAGCCTCCTGCATTGGCAAAGTTGTGCCCTTAGATGTGGGGACCCAGAAGCCCCAGCTGGGCTGTTTCTGGGCACGTGGAGAGGAAGGAAGGAAGGTGGACCCCCCCCACACACACACTCTGGGCTGCCCACGCCGCCATTCCAGCCTCCTCCCCTTTGACTAGGGCCCAGACCATGCCTCTCTCTAGATGCTGCCATGGCTCCCTATTGCCCTTGGGGTAGCAGGTCAGTTCTTCAACCTGGCATTCGAGTCACCTTTGCCACTCAGGCCAGGCATTCCTCCCATGCCCCTGGGACACTGAAGTTGCCCTAACTTGGCTGGAATGCACCCCATTCTCACCTTGAAGAGAACCCCTCAGATTTTATCTTCCCCTGAAGCCTTCCTCTCACTAGCTTTGGTTGTTTTGCCCAGACCTTGCTTTGATGAAGACACAACCCCTAACTCTCTCTCTCTCTCTCTCTCTCTCTCTCTCTCTCTCTCTCTCACACACACACACACACACACACACACACACACACACACTGTCCCTCTTTTGGGGGAGCTTCTTGGGGCAGGGATGAGGATCCCAGTGCCTCCTTATCCAAAAAGACCCAGCACAGAATTCACAAACAACTGACATGGGACGAGGCAAGAACTATGACTTTCACAGAAAGCAAAACCTAGGTCCTGCCCCCATGGGCACAGAGCAAGCTGAAAACATGCTGGCACAATGCTTAGCGGGGAGGTAACCCAAGAGTCTGTGCCAGGCCATGTCTACACTATCCCCCCTTCTTGGGAAGCAAACAGGCTTGGAAAGGAAACATGACTGTCCAGGAGTCCTAAAGCTTGTCTTGTCTTGGATGGTCCAGTCATTCATTCAGCATAGATTGACCAAGTTCCCATCGTGTGCTTAG